GCTTGGACTTCCAGCAAGCGTGCTGTGGCGTGTAGATAGGAGTGAATGGAGACGAATGGTCTTGGGACCTGACGATTTGGTTGGAGTGTGAGCAGGGTAATATTTTAGTGAAGGGATTCAGGGGAAGCCGGTATTTTCATATAGTCGGACTTGAGTCCCTGGAAATGGGAATTACAATGCCTGCACTTTTAAAGGACAAGGGTCAGTTTGGATATTGGCAGTTTGAGGGATATGTTGTGTATTTTATATGTTTATGCTTTAGCTGTTGTTATTCTGGGCACCTCTGCAAAAACAGTGATAATGTGCGAGTGTGGTGGAACGTGTTGGAAATGATTGATGAAAAGTATTTTCTTTTTGGGGATTTTCTTACTATTTTGGGCGTCACCCTGCCCCGGTGGGAGTCGTACGACCTTGTTGGAAAAAAAAAAAAAAAAAAAAAAAAAATATATATATATATTTTATATATTATATACTATACAGTGGACCCCCCGCTTAACGATCCCTCCCAAATGCGACACAATTTTGTATGTGTTGATTTATGTAAGGCGTTGTACGTGTATGTTTGGGGGCTCGAAATGGACAATATCTACTTCACTATATTCCTTATCGGGAAAAAAAATTAGGTCAGTACTTGCACCTGAACATACTTCTGGAATGAAAAAAGTTCGGTAACGGGGGTCCAATGTATATATATATTTTTTTTTTTTTATTATCACACCGGCGATTCCCACCCAAGGCAGTGTGGGCCCGAATAAAAGAAAAAAACTTTCACCATCATTCACCCCTTCACTGTCTTGCCAGTAGGGTGCTTACACTACAGTTTTAAACTGCAACATTAATCACCCCTCATTCAGAGTGAAGGCACTGTACCTTCCTCTCCAGGGACCGTCAAGTCCGGCCTGCCGGTTTCCCTCAATTCCTTATAAATGTTACTTTGTCACACTCCTACAAGCAACGTCATGGATTAAAACCAGTGTTCTCATTCATCCTATCCAAACACGGCCTCACGCAGGCATGTGGAAGTCCTCCAAGCCCTAGCACACAAACTCTTATTACCCTCCCTCCAAACCCTTCCATAGGCCGACCCCTACCCCGCCTTCTTCCACTTCAGATGATACACTCGTGAAGTCATTTTTTCTGTTTCGCTTCCATTCTCTATCATGTACGTACCACCTCAACAACCCTTCCTCAAGCCCTTCTGGACAACAGTTTTGGTAATCACGCACCTCCCTCCTAACTTCCAAACTACGAATTCTAAGCATCTTATTTTCACAACACACATTGCCCTCAGACATGACATCTCCACTGCATCCAGCCTTCTCCTCGCGACAACATTTCATCACCCCACGCTTCACACCCAGATAAGAGCGTTGGTATATACCTTTACTCTCATACATTCCCCTCATTGCCTCCAAGGACTACGTTCTTTGTCATCCACGATCCTAAGGGCACCACCACTCACTCTTTTTCCTCATCATTCTATGATTTCACCTCATCGTTCATAGACCCATCCGCTGACTCGTCCACTCCCATAAATATCTGAATACGTTCTCCTCCGCCATACTCTCTCCCTCCATCTGATATTCAATCTTCTTCACCTAATCTTTTGTTTATCTCATAACCTTACTCTTTCTGTATTCACCTTTAATTTTTCTTCTTTTTGCTCACCCTACCATATTTCATCCACCATTCTCTGCAAACTTCTCTTCAGAATTCTCCCAAGAGCTCAGTGTCATTCGCAAGAGCAGCTGTGAACAACTCCACTTTGTGTGTGATTCTTTATCTTTTACTACTCGCCTTTGCAAGACCCTCGCATTTAATTCTATTTACAACCCCATTATAATATTTTAATCAACCACGGTGACATCACACATCCTTGTTAAGGCTACGTTTACTGGAAAAAATTTCCCTCTTTCCTACATACTCTAACTTGAGCCTCATATCCTCGTAAAACTCTCAATGCTTTCAGTAACCTACCTCATACACCATACACTTGCTCACCATCTGCCACTTTGCCCCCCTAGTCCACCATGTCTACGCCCTTTTCAAATCCCTAAATTGCCACTAAGACCTCATTAGCCTTATCCTAAATACTGTTCACTTATATGTTTCACTGTGAAACACCTGGTCCCACAACCCCACCTTTCTAAAGCTCCTTGTTCATCTGCTAATCCTATTTCTCCGTCTTTCTCTTAATTCTTGCTATTATTACTCTACAATACACTTTTCAGGTACACTCAACAGACTTATCCCCCTATAATTGTTTCGATCTCTCTCTTTTATCCCTTTGCCTTTATACAACGGAACTATGCATCGCTCTCCTGCCAATCCTAGGGTACCTTACCCTCTTCCATACATTTATTAACAAATTGCACAACCACTCCAAACGATTATCCCCACCTGCTTTTTACAGTTCTATCTATATCCCATCAAATCCCGGACTCTGCCTTACCCCCTTACATTTTACCTACTGCCTCACGAACTTCCCCCACCACTCACAACTGGCTCTTCCTCACTCCTACAAGAGGTTATTCTCCTTGCCCTATACACGAATTCACAGCTTCCCTATCTTCATGCAACATTTAACAATTCCTCAAAATTTTCCCTCCACTTCCCAATACCTTAACTCTCATTTAATAATCTCTTCTCTCCTTTTTTTACACTGGTACAAAATCCAATTTTGTGCTTCTAGGCTTTCTTTAACTTGGTAATCTCACTCCAAAACTTTTTCTTATTTTCTCAACAATATTTGTTGATTAACATCTCTCCCCACTATTCTCATTTGCTCCTCTTTTTACATTGCTTCACCACTCTCTTAAACCTCTCTCTTTTTCTCCACATTATTTACTCTTCCCTCCTTGCAATCACTTCTACTTTGTAAAAAACTTCTCAGATGCTAACTTTTTCTCCCTTTACTACTCTCTTTACATCATCATTCCCAATCCTCCTCTTCCCTCCCTGCACCACTTTCTGTAAACACAAACTTCTGTGAACACTCTAACACACATTTTTAAAACCTACCCCATACCTCTTCGGACCCCATTGCCTATGCTCTCATTAGCCCTTCTATCCTCTCAATTAGCTGTTATATCTTTCCCTAATGCTCCTCTTTAGTTTATAAACCTTCACCTCCTCTTCCTGATGCTTCTATTCTCCTTGTATCCATCTTCCTTTTTACTCTCCAGTGTAGATACAACTAGAAGTGATCTGATATATCTGTGCCCTCTATAAACATGTACATCTGAAGTCTAACTCAACAGTTTTTATCTACAATAACATAATCCAACAAAACTGTCATTTCGCCCCCTACATCTTATCGTGTATATTATTTATCCTCTTTTTCTTAAAATATGTTATTACCTATAACTAAAACCCCTTCTATACTAAGTTAATCAAAGGCTCCCATTTATCTTTTTAGCACCTGGCACCCAAATTACCTACCACACCCTCTCTAAAGGTTCTCCTACTTTTAGCTTTCATGTCCCCTTACCACAATTACTCTCTCTACTTGGTCAATAGGGCTTCCTATTCTTCACTTAACATTCCCAAAATCTCTCTCTCTCCTCTGCATTCCTCTCATTCTCCAGGTGATACACGGCTTATTTTGACCCACTTCTGCATCCAACTTTACTTTAAATCCAAACATTCTGGAATTTACACATTCATATTCTCTTTTTCTCCTTCCATAACTGATCATTTTATCATTTACTGCTACCCCTTCCTTTGCCCTCTATTCTCTCAGATACTCAGATTTAATCCCATTTATTTCCCCACTGAAAACTCTCCTACCCCTTCAGCTTTGTTGCGCTTAGGGCCCCAGGACATACCAACTTCTTTTCATTAATAACTCAGCAATCATCTGTTTCTTGTCATCCGCAACTACATCCACGCACATTTAAAAGCAACCCAGTTTTTATAAAGTTTTTCTTCTTCTCATTTTTAGAAATTGTATACAGGAAGAAGGTGGGTTACTAGCCATTGCCTCCCAGGCATTTTAGTCTCGCCTCATATATATTTATATATAGATATATATAATATATAATTTTATATATAGATATATGTTCTATTTACACATCAAAATTACTAATTGTTACGGAATTTTTTTACATAAGATATACAGCTTGTTTTTATACATCAAAAATGGCGTTGTCACGGTTGCATTTTATATATCAAAATGACTTAGGATTATTCAAAGAATCATACATCATTGGTGTATGATTTGGGCACTGAGGTTTCTTCTAAAACACTAAATTCGCTCTTCCAATAATTGAATTTTGTGAATTGTTGCTGTATAAGTCACATATCATAATCTATACAGTTAAAAAGTGGCTAGATGCTCTTTATGTGGTAGTGTAATCCACAGTTTTGTTTTTGACATGTCTATGATTTATATGTGGAAGCAAACAGTTTGGTTTGATGAGTTGGTGTGCTGTTGGAGTGCAAGCAAGTGGTGTTGATGGGGGTTCAGGGGAAAGTTAGCTGGACTTGAGTCCTGGAGGTGGTATGTGCTGTGGCCAGCAGTTAAGTATCTCCAACAGCTCCATCAACACTCTTCCAGCAATGGAGACGACCCACCCACCGCGATGGTGAATGCTTTTCTTCACTAAGTCACCCTGAGGTAGACAACCCCCCACCAAACAAATCCACTGTATATCCGTGGCATTCTAGTCATTCTTGCTGCGCTCAGTCGTCAGGGGCACTAGGGGTCACGGTTAATACTGGAGTCATTCCAACGAGAAACATCACAAATCCGCTGTAGATCCGCTGTGTTCTAGTCAGTCTTGACAGATAATCTCCCATCAACAAGAAGCATCACAAATCCACTGTAGATCCATGGTGTTCTAAGTCAATTTTGCCTCCCTAGCTCAGTGTTCAAGGGGCACTAGAGGTCACATGGTTAATATGGTGTCATTCCAATGAGAAAACATCCACTATTGCTGTTGATCACTGCATACTAGTACGATATTGCCGCCATGATCAGAGTTGATGGGGACTAGGGGTCACATGTCATTACTGGAGCCTTTCGACTGGGTCATACTTAGAGCGTTGGCCTTTGCTCATGTAGATGAAGTATGTGAGACAGTCTTTCTCTGCTTCCAGGCACAGTCTTGAAGTGTTTCTTCTGTATCTGTACCTATGAGATTTTAAAACCCATAAGAAAAATTGTATACTGAGATACTATTGTTCTATATAGTTTACATTGGACACAAAGACATTATGACTGGTAATGGGGTATAAAGTCTGTTACTATAAGAGGGTCATTAAGACTGGCTATGGGGTTTAATCATACTATATGAGGGTCATTAAGACTGGTAATGGTGGGGTTTAATGTATATCTACTACCCAAATTCATTAAGACTGGTTAGTTAGTTAATGGGCAATAAAGTCTATCTACACATGAGGGTCAGTAAGATGGAGTCTGGCTACCATACCATGGTTCATTAAGACTGGTTAATGGGGGTTAAAGTTACTACACAAGGTCATTAAGACTGGCTAATGGGCGTTTTTTAAAGTCTATACAATCAGGGTCACAAGACTGGACAGATCTATCCACCACACTACACCACTTGATACTCTATCCATACAACAGTTAAACTTTTTCTCAATTACACACTCAAGGCAGATCAACCTACATTCAACTAGCTGGGCCTTGTTGAGTCCTGACAGGTTTGCAAACTTGTAGTGCCTCTTGTATCGTCTCAGTGTATTAACCTGTAGAAAATACAATGTGTATGTAGTAGTGTACTTATACTGCCTTGTATGAACATGTGTATACTCTACTCCCTTGTACAGTATTGTATTATGGTTATATACTGCTCTCTTCACTTAACGACGGTAGTTCTGTTCCTCAGTCACCATGCTGTAAATGAATTTGGTCGGTTAAGTGAGGAGAATATTATAATGTGGCTAGAGGGTCTGTGTCAACCATCCATTGATATTGTTTTGATGTCGCCTTTGCACCATATATAACATCTCTGGTATATTTTTAAATGTTTATACAGTAGTGTACTGTATACTGAAATAAAAAGAACAGAGGAAATCAGCTCTAATACACATTATTTAGGTATGCATACTAGTCAGAGAGCCCGTCGTAAGTTCGAGGTGTACATAAACAAGTACGTCGCTAAGTGAGGAGAGGCTGTACTAGTATCAACTAGAGGTGAATACAATATTGTGTTAACTAGAGGGGAATATAACTATATTAACTTGTATTAACTAGTAAGTTGAAATATCTTAAGTTGAAGTGAAGCCTTAGATTCTTACAGGTCGTTAGTGAAGACTAGAATCCTACAGGTTTTGACCAGGCAAGAGACAAAAGGATAAGAGACAGACCCTCTGGACAAAATAATGGGACAGAGGGGGTAGCAAGAGTTTAGACCAGACAAGAAGAGAGATGGACAAATATGCGAGACACCCACTCATGTCTACCTTCATCTTATTCACCTCTGACTAACTTCCTTTCATCTCAAGTTAAATGTTATTCTCAAAGGTTTGGTACTGTCATGGGTGCACCTCTAACCTTGTCATAGTTAACCTTTATATGGAGTATTTCAAACTGTACAGTATTGGTAGTAGTGGTACTAGTAGTAGCAGTGGTGGTACTAGTAGTAGCAGTGGTAGAGTACTTGTAGTAGTAGCTGTAGTACAGTAGTAGTAACAGTCACAATAGTAGTGTAACAAGTAATAGTAGTGTAACAGTAATAGTTGTAACAGTAGTAGTAGTAACAGTAGTAGGTTGTAACTGTAGTAGTAGTAACAGGTAGGTAGTTGTAGTACTGTCATGTAGGAGTAGTAGTAAAACAGTAATAGTATTAAACAGTAATAGTAGAGTAACAGTTATAGTAGTAACAGTAATTGTAGTAACAGTAGTAGTAGTAGTAGCTAGTAGTAGTAGTAGTAAACTGTAGTAGTTACAGTTAAGTAGTAACAGCTAGTAGTAGTAGTGTAGATTCTGCATGATATAATAGGTATAAATTACAGTACTGGAAGTTATTTAAAATTACAGACCTGGTGGTTATTAATACAGTACCTGGAGGTTATACAGCTCTACTTCCGGATGGTCACCATCAAAGTCCACAGAGTATCCTCAGATAATTCACGTCTCTTACGCTTGACTCTGACACTCTGTATCACACCTTTGTGCATTACTCACAGATGTAGTTGGTGAAATGGACTGTAACATGACAGTGGTATTTAGTCACTCTCTCACTCACTCTCTCACTCACTCTCACTCACTCTCTCTCTCTCACTCACTCACTCTCTCACTCACTCTCTCACTCTCTCACTCACTCTCTCACTCACTCTCTCTCACTCACTCTCTCACACTCTCACTCACTCACTCTCTCACTCACTCTCTCACTCTCTCACTCTCTCACTCACTCACTCTCTCCCTCACTCTCTCACTCACTCTCACTCACTCTCTCACTCTCTCACTCACTCACTCTCACTCACTCTCTCTCACTCACCCTCTCACTCACTCTCTCACTCACTCTCTCACTCACTCACTCACTCTCTCACTCACTCTCTCACTTACTGCAGAGTCTATATGCAGCCTCAACTTCCGCTGAGCGACGGTCTTCTGGATCCGCTTGTTATATGCAGCATTGCCAGCCAATTGTGTACATCTCTCTCCAGCATCCACCAAACAACACACCTGGTCGTGTTGGGTCCCAGAGTCCTCTTCCGTGCTCAACCCGTTCATTCTCAACCAAAATCTATTTGAAAAGGACAGAGGATAGATATACCTATTGGTAAATCATTGCCAGTTGTGTACATGTCTCCAAAGCATCACCCAGACAACACACCTGGTTGTGCTGGGCCACAGAGTCTTCAATCCGAAAATCTATTGGAAAATAATAGACAATTGATATACCTTTGATATATAGCTATTGTTAAAAAATTTTTGAACAAAATCTATTGGAAAAAGACACAGAATCGTCACGTCTACTGCTAAAAAAATATTTTTTTTTGTTTTCCAACCAAAACCTAATGAAAAAAAGACATAGAGTATATTTATTAATAAAGCTGTTATTTTGGGGGTTCAACCAAAATCTATTGAAAACAGACACAGAATTGATGTCTCTATTGCTAAAAATTTTTTTTTATTAGTTTTTCAACCAAATCTATTGGAAAATTAAACAGAATCAACATATATATTGTTAAAGTGATTTTGTTTTAGGTTTTCATTTTTTTTTTTGGTTCAATTTGCGGTGCCACAGTAATGATGCTAAAGCAGATTCATGACAAAGAATTTGACTATCATCATTACTGATTCTATGTCATCAATGATGACTCTTGATTCTTGAAGCACATAGTGACTCGAACATGCTCCTTGAAAAAGCTGGGCATAGATACCCAAAAATCTGGGAAAAAAGCCTTTAATGTACAATTATCATGGATGCCATCACATATGATTACTCCTTATAATAAATAATAATAATAATAATAATAATAATAATAATAATAATAATGATAATAGTTTATTTCTACAAGTACATGGAACAACTTATACAGACTACAGCTGACATCAATAACATACTAAATAGAAAGTTCCTGGTTATACAGACCGTTTCTTCCAACTCGGGTCAAGTCTGTCCCCAGGATGCCACCCACACCTGTCACCTAACAACCAGGTACCTACTTACTGCTAGGTGAAACAGGGCTCCAATTCCTTGGATCAAAACCTCAGCTTATAACAATTATACAAATTCAACAAAAATCCAATATAATAACCATGATTTACTTACCAGGAGGCTTCCAGGTCAGTAGTAATTACCAGGAGGCTTCCAGGTCAGTAGTAATTACCAGGAGGAGGCTTCCAGGTCAGCAGTAATTACCAGGAGGCTTCCAGGTCAGTAGTAATTACCAGGAGGCTTCCAGGTCAGTAGTAATTACCAGGAGGAGGCTTCCAGGTCAGCAGTAATTACCAGGAGGCTTCCAGGTCAGTAGTAATTACCAGGAGGAGGCTTCCAGGTCAGGAGTAATTACTAGGAGGAGGCTTCCAGGTCAGTAGTAATTAACAGGAGGCTTCCAGGTCAGTAGTAATTACCAGGAGGAGGCTTCCAGGTCAATAGTAATTACTAGGAGGAGGCTTCCAGGTCAGTAGTAATTACCAGGAGGCTTCCAGGTCAGTAGTAATTACCAGGAGGAGGCTTCCAGGGCAAAGTAATTACCAGGAGGCTTCCAGATCAGTAGTAATTACCAGGAGGCTTCCAGGTCAGTAGTAATTACCAAAAGGAGGCTTCCAGGGCAGAAGTAATTACCAGGAGGAGGCTTTCGAGTCAGTAGTAATTACCAGGAGGCTTCCAGGTCAGTAGTAATTACCAGGAGGAGGCTTCCAGGGCAAAGTAATTAGCAGGAGGAGGCTTCCAGGTCAGTAGTAATTACCAGGAGGAGGCTTCCAGGTCAGTAGTAATTACCAAGAGGCTTCCAGGTCAGTAGTAATTACCAGGAGGAGGCTTCCAGGGCAGAAGTAATTACCAGGAGGAGGCTTTCGAGTCAGTAGTAATTACCAGGAGGCTTCCAGGTCAGTAGTAATCACCAAGAGGCTTCCAAGTCAAAAGTAATTATGACGAGACTTCCAGGTCAGTAATAATTACCCAGAGGCTTCCAGGGCAGTAATACCATCAACAGGAGTCTTCCAGTGGAATAACACCAGCAGGAGGCTTCCAGGGCACTAATGATTCAAGCAGGAGGCTTCCATGGCTCTAAAGCCACCAGCAGGAGGCTTCCAGGGGAGTAATAACACCAACAGGAGGCTTCCAGGGCACTAATGATTCAAGCAGGCTTCCATGGCTCTAAAACCACCAGCAGCAGGCTTCCAGGGCAGTAATAATACAAGGAGGCAGCTTCCACGGGAGTAATAACACCAGCAGGAGGTTTCCAGGGCAGTAATAACACCAGCAGGAGGGTTCCAGGGTACTAATTATACCAGGAGGATTCCAGGGCAGTAATAACACCAGAAGGAGGCTTCCAGGGCAGTAATAACACCAGCAGGCTTCAAATGCAGGATAACACCAGCAGGAGGCTTCTGGGGCATTAATAACACCAGCAGGAGGCTTCTGGGGCATTAATAACACCAGCAGGAGGCTTCCATAGTAATAACACCAGCAGGAGGCTCCCAGGGCATTATTAACACCAGCAGGAGGTTTCCAGAGTATAACACCAGCAGGAGGCTTCCAGGGCATTAATAGCACCAGCAAGAGGCTTCCAGGGCAGTAATAGCACCAGCAGAGGCTTCCAGAGAACAAGTAACACCAGCAGGAGGCTTCCAGGGCAGTAATAACACCGGCAGGAGGCTTCCAGAGAACAAGTAACACCAGCAGGAGGCTTCCAGGTCAGTAATAACACCAGCAGGAGGCTTCTAGGTCAGTAATAACACCGGCAGGAGGCTTCCAGGTCAGTATTAACACCAGCAGGAGGCTTCCAGGGCAGTAATAACATCAGCAGGAGGCTTCCAGGGCAGTAATAACATCAGCAGGAGGCTTCCAGGTCAGTAATAACACCAGCAGGAGGCTTCTAGGTCAGTAATAACACCGGCAGGAGGCTTCCAGGTCAGTAATAACACCGGCAGGAGGCTTCCAGGGCAGTGATAACACCGGCAGGAGGCTTCCAGGGCAGTAATAACACCGGCAGGAGGCTTCCAGGGCAGTAATAACACCGGCAGGAGGCTTCCAGGGCAGTAATAACACCAGCAGGAGGCTTCTAGGTCAGTAATAACACCGGCAGGAGGCTTCCAGGGCAGTAATAACACCAGCAGGAGGCTTCCAGGTCAGTAATAACACCGGCAGGAGGCTTCCAGGGCAGTAATAACACCGGCAGGAGGCTTCCAGGGCAGTAATAACACCGGCAGGAGGCTTCCAGGGCAGTAATAACACCGGCAGGAGGCTTCCAGGGCAGTAATAACACCAGCAGGGGGCTTCTAGGTCAGTAATAACACCGGCAGGAGGCTTCCAGGGCAGTAATAACACCAGCAGGAGGCTTCCAGGGCAGTAATAACACCGGCAGGAGGCTTCTAGGTCAGTAATAACACCGGCAGGAGGCTTCCAGGGCAGTAATAACACCAGCAGGAGGCTTCCAGGGCAGTAATAACACCAGCAGGAGGCTTCCACTTCAAATTATTCCACCAAAAAATCACCTCACCGCCATGTTTCTGGGTAATTATCGCACTCAGGCGATTGACGGGTCATAAGGAGGTAATTATGCGTCTCTGGTGGTAATTAGGAGCCTCAAGAGGTAATACTAGCCGGGAAATAAGGTAAATAATGGAGGGAGACGATCAACACTCCTGTCACTTGGCTTTTGTTTACATCCTGTTCCAATAATGTCTTCTCACCACAATAACATTTATTTTTAATATGAAACCTTAAATAAAATTAAGAAATCAGCCTCATATAATTTTTTTCATGCTAATTTATTTTATTTTATGTTAAATGTGATTAAGTCTTGATCATTTTTTTTAATCTTTTTTTTTGAAGGGTTTAAATATACTTTGCCGTCTAAATGGGATACCCCAAGCTCTGTGATTGGCTGAGACATCCAGCACAGTTACTAGCCTATTATTATTATTTTACATTAAATAGCAGCTTATTTGACATTGATTACTACCTAATATTTATTTTTTAATTTATGATTCATTTATTGTAATAACTTTGATTTAAAAAATGAATATATTTACGTAAATTGAAATATAAAGATATAATGAACGCCATTATTAATTACTTAATAATAGATTAATAAATAATTTATTATTATTATTTATTTTATATAATAAATTTAACTCAAAAAAGTAAATTAATTCCTCAAAATAAAAATAATAGTATTTAAAATCTCAAAAATATCTCTTGGCAACTCGAAGGTGATTGAAGCTCGGTGATTGGTTAGTTCACGTAGATACCGGCTGACTAAGCCGCTTGCTGGTTGGTCAAAATTCGCGGGAAAGACAAAACTGACCAATCAGGAGGCTGGATTGCCTTCCTATGCTTTCTCTATGGGAGAACGCCGACGACCGCCCCTGCTGCCTCAACTCTAACGCTACCCTTCCATTTGTGACGTATTTTCACCCTTATTTACCCTTGTTGTGGGTTATTAATGGTGGGGAATTGTTCCGGTAGGCCTAGGGGAGGCTCCTAGGCCTATAATCGGGTTCTAAAGGGATTAAATAGGTTGATAAATGGATAAAAGTTAAGGGCGTCGTGGTGGTAAGGGAGGTCACGGCAGCCATGTAAACTTGTTCCTGTGTTGTGTTGGAGTTATTTTTAATTGTGGAGGAGGTGGTGATGGAGGAGTGTATGGAGGAGGTGCCTGGAGGCAGGGTAGGCCTCCTGGAGGGTAGGCCTACCCTCTGGTAGGCTCAGACACCTGAATGTTACAAAGTCTTTATAGGCCGTTCATCAGGGACACCGTGTTCGGATTCACGCCACCGACCTTGACTTCTCTTAACTAACGCAAGTTCAACGTCGCTCCGTTCGTTCTAGTGGGGATCACACCAATGAATTTACGCAATTCGTTATGTTCTCGCAGGTGGAAAGTCCAAAATAGCGAGTGGATGCACTTATTAACCAAAATTGATGCACCCATGCGAAGCCTCTGCTCAGGGATCCGAACGAGTCCCCCCATTTTCAGATATCTGTGGTCGTGTCAGAATAAATTGGACAATAAACCTTATTTTAGGGCCTTGCTCCTCTCCCTTGGATCAAACACCTCTCTTACCACCTCCCTAGAGCCCCCTGAACCCCGGGAGCCCACACTCCTGCGGGTTTAGCGCTCCCACGCCTAGGGAAATTAAAATAGATTATTTTTTTTATTTTGGGGGGAGGAGGGTTAGGTTCCCGATCCAAGGAACTGGATCAAACCTGAGAACCTTGAATAATATTAATCTGCTAGTAATTAGTAATAATCTTCAAGTAATAGCAATCTACTAGTAATCTAGTAATTTAAGACCATAAGAGAGGAACAATTTAATGGTAATTAGTAATAATCTAGTAATGGTAATTAGTAATAATCTAGAAATGGTAATTAGTAATAATCTAGAAATGGTAATTAGTAATAATCTAGTAATGGTAATTAGTAATAATCTAGAAATGGTAATTAGTAATAATCTAGTAATGGTAATTAGTAATAATCTAGTAATGGTAATTAGTAATAATCTAGTAATGGTAATTAGTAATAATCTAGTAATGGTAATTAGTAATAATCTAGTAATGGTAATTAGTAATAATCTAGTAATGGTAATTAGTAATAATCTAGTAATGATAATTAGTAATCTAGTAATGGTAAATAGTAATAATCTAGTAATGGTAATTAGTAATAATCTAGTAATGGTAATTAGTAATAATCTAGTAATGGTAATTAGTAATAATCTAGTAATGGTAATTAGTAATAATCTAGTAATGGTAATTAGTAATAATTAGTAATGATAATTAGTAATAATCTAGTAATGGTAATTAGTAATAATCTAGTAATGGTAATTAGTAATAATCGTAATGTAATTAGTAATAATCTATAATGAATATAATAATCTAGTAATGGTAATTAGTAATAATCTAGTAATGGTAATTAGTAATAATCTAGTAATGGTAATTAGTATAATCTAGTAATGGATAATTAGTATAATACTAGTAATGGTAATTAGTAATAATCTAGTAATGGTAATTAGTAATAATCTAGTAATGGTAATTAGTAATAATCTAGTAATGGTAATTAGTAATAATCTAGTAATGGTAATTAGTAATAATCTAGTAATGGTAATTAGTAATAATCTAGTAATGGATTAGTAATTAATAACTAAATATCTAGTAATGGTAATTAGTACTAATCTAGTAATGGTAATTAGTAATAATCTAGTAATGGTAATATATAATAATCTAGTAATGCGTAATTGTAATCTAGTAATGGAAATTAGTAATAATCTGGTAATGGTAATTAGTAATAATCTCTTAGTAATTACAAGTAATAGTAATCTAGTAGTAATCATATAGTAATTAGTAATTGCTAGTAATGGTAATTAGTAAAAAATGCTATTAGTAGTAATCTAGTAATTAGTAATCTAGTAATAGTAATAATCTACTAGTAATAGACATAATTACTAGTAATTAGTAATCTACTGTAATAGAATAATCTCAATAGCAATAATTCTAGAATAATCTGGTAATAGTAATAATCTACTAGTAACAGTAATCAATCTATATAAAATCTAGTAATAGATAATGATCTACTAGTAATAGTAATAATAGTAATAGTAACTAGTAATAGCAATAATCTACTAGTAATAGTAATAATCTACTAGTAATAGCAATGATCTACTAGTAATAGCAATAATTTACTAGTAATTGTAATCTAGTAATAGCAATAATCTACTAGTAATAGTAATCTACTAGTAATAGTAATCTACTAGTAATAGTAATGATCTACTAGTAATAGCAATAATTTACTAGTAATAGTAATCTAGTAATAGCAATAATCTACTAGTAATAGTAATAATCTACTAGTAATAGTAATGATCTATTAGTAATAGCAATAATTTACTAGTAATAGTAATCTAGTAATAGTAATGATCTACTAGTTAAATCTAGTAATATAATACTATAATCATAATACTAGTAATAGTAATAATCTACTAGTAATAGCAATAATTTACTAGTAATAGTAATCTAGTAATAGCAATAATCTACTAGTAATAGTAATCTACTAGTAATAGTAATCTAGTAATAGCAATAATCTACTAGTAATAGTAATCTAGTATAGCAATAATTACTAGTAATCAGTAATAATTACTAGTAATAGCAATAATTCGTTATGTAATAGTAATTGTAATAGCTAATAATCTACTAGTAATAGTAATTCTACTAGTAATAGCAATATTACTAGTAATAGTAATCTAGTAATAGCAAGTAATCACTAGTAATAGTAATCTATAAGTAATAGTAATCTACTGTATTAGTATAATCATAGTAATGTAATCTAGTATAGTAATCATAAACTGTAATGCATTAGCCTCTTGTAGTTAACTTGTTATGTATCAGGTTATATACACTCACATATAATGTTAGATAGTATATATTCATCTATGTAATCTTATTTGTGTATCTGAATAATCACTTGATATACTATAATAGTAATCTACTAGTAATAGTAATTCAGTTATAGTAACCCTAGTAATAGAATCTATCAGTAATAAATTCTGTAATGTATCATATGTAAGTATTAGTAATCCTGTATTTAAGTATCTAGTAATGTATATTCAAGTAATAGTTATCATCTACTAGTTATAGAGGCCTTACACTCTTGTTTTGAAGTTCAATTATCACCTGTTTGAAGGTCTAGTTATCCATCCCTTGTTTTCAAGGTATATTATCCATCCCTTGTTTCAAGGTTAATATCATCCTTGTTTTAAGGTTCTAGTTATCATCTTGTCTTAGTTCTATATCCATCCTATGTTTTCAAGGTTCTAAGTTATATCCCTTGTTTTGCAAGTTCTATATAACCATGTTTTCAGGTTTGTTATCCCCTGATTACATTCGTGTTTCCATCCTTTGTGGATGTTCTATTATCCTCCCTTATTTTGAAGGTTCTAGTTATCCATCCTTGTTTTCAAGGTTTTATTATCCATCCCTTGTTTTCAAGGTTCTACTTATTCATCCCTTGTTTTGAAGGTTCTAATTATCCATTCCTTGTTTTGAAGGTTCTGGTTATCCATCCCTTGTTTTCAAGGTTCTAGTTATGCATCCCTTGTTTTTGAAGGTTTTAGTTATCCATCCATGAAGGTTCTGGTTATCCATCCATTGTTTTGAAGGTTTAATTATCTATTCCTTGTTTTGAAGGTTCTCATTATCCATCCCTTGTTTTCAAGTTTCTAGTTATCCATCCCTTGTTTTGAAGGTTCTATTCATCCCTTGTTTTCAAGGTTCTAGTTATGCATCCCTTGTTTTCAAGGTTCTAGTTATGCATCCCTTGTTTTCAAGGTTCTAGTTATCCATCCCTTGTTTTCAAGGTTCTGGTTATCCATCCCTTGTTTTCAAGGCTCTAGTTATCCATTCATGAAAGGTCTAGCTGTCTATCCTTTTTGAACTCTCTGGTTATCCATCCCTTATTTTGAAGGTACTAGTTTTCCACCCCTTGTTTTCAAGGTACTAGTTATCCATCCCTTGTTTTGAAGATTCTAGTTATCCATCCCTTGTGATGGCTCTATTTATCCATCCCTTGTGAAGGTTCTAGTTATGAATCCTTTTTGAAGGTTCTGGTTATCCATCCCTTGTTTTCTAGGTTCTAGTTATGCATCCCTTGTTTTCAAGGTTCTAGTTATCCTTCCCTTGTTTTGAGGGTTCTAGATATCCTTGTTTTGAATGTTCTAATTATCCTTTGTTTTGACAGTTCTAGTTATCTATTGCATAATTTCAAGGTTATAGTTATTTGTCCTTTGTTTTGAAGGTTCTAGTTGTCTATCCCTTGATTTGAAGGTTCTATTTATCCACCCCTTGATTTGAAGGTTCTAGTCATCCATCCCTAAAAGTTCTAGTTATCTGTGAAGGTTCTTGTTATCCATCCATGAAGGTTTTAGTTATCAATCCATGTTGTGATCCTTGAAGGCGAGATCCTCTGACATTATCTCTCTCAGGTCCTTCACATTAGTTTCCCACTCTATCCTGTGATTTGAATTTGTCTTAAACTCTGTTCTAGCTTCTGTTTCCTCACGTTCTTCCGTAGAGTAGCTGGAATTTGTCCTCATTTAACTTTATATTGTCTTCTGAGGCCCATTTAAAGATTTGGTTGATGTCAGCTTGGAGTCTTGCAGTGTCTTCAGTGGATGACACTGTCATGCATATTCTGGTATCGTCCTGTCTGTGTCAGATAGGATGAGGAACAGGGTGATAAAGTTTACTTCTACAAGTACATGATACAACTTATACAGATCATAGCTGACGTCAGTAACATACTAACCTAACATGACCTGACCTGGAAACCTTACGTAACCTTACCTAACAAACCTAAACTAAGCTAACAAACCTAATCTAACCTAACAAACCTTACCTAACAAACCTGGTTTACCTATCCTAACCTAACAAACCTTACCTTACATATCCTAACTTAACCTAATGTAACCTTAACTTACGTTACCTAACCTAACCTTACCTAACCTAACCTTACCTAACCTAACCTAACCTAACCTTACCTAACCTAACCTAACCTAACCTTACCTAACTTAACCTAACTTAACATAACCTAACCTTACAAACTTTGCCTAATCTAACCTAACCTTACGTAGCAAACCTTACCTAACCTAATTTAACCTAACTTAACCTAACCTAACAAATCTTACTTTACCTAACTTTACCTAACTAACCTTACCTAACCTAACCTGACAAACCTTACCTAGCTTTACCTAACAAACCTAATCTAACCTAGCAAACCTATCCTAACAAACCTTACCTTACCTAACCTAACCTACCTTACCCAACCTAACATAACAAAGCTTACCTAAGATATGTATGTACCACATTAAACATGTCCCCTCATGTTGAGCATGTGTTTGATGTTGCAGCAAGTATGCCACGTGCCAAATTAGTGGATACGAAGCCACGCGGCCGCATGTCTGCGTACGCGTTCTTCGTCCAGACGTGCCGGGAGGAACATAAGAAAAAACATCCAGACGAGAATGTCATCTTCTCCGAGTTCTCACGCAAGTGTGCCGACCGCTGGAAGGTGAGGAGCACTGCAGGAGGCCTACTGACCCATACTAGGCAGGTCCTTTTCAAATCCACCCACGTATTTAACATAAGACTACAGGAGTACTGCAGGAGGCCTACTGGCCCATACTAGGCAGGTCCTTATAAAATCCACCCACGTATTTAACATGAGACTACAAGAACACTGGAGGAGACCTACTGGCCCATACTAACCAGGTCCTTATCAAATCCACCCATGTATTTAACATAAGACTACAGGAGCACTGCAGGAGGCCTACTGGCCCTTACTAAACATACCCTTATCAAGAATTGAAGACTGAAAGGTAGTAAAGTTGGATTGGCATGTGTAATAATTTTTGTTATAAGAATTTCATCATGATACAATGTTTGTGACATAGATAATATTTTATAAATTACATGACATAGATACTATTTTATACAACAGACAGCATTCTATTCAAGAACTGAATGTAATATATGTAATACTTGAGGGAGAGTTGCAAGAGTAATATAATGCAGTGTTTTATTGACTTATATCCACACACGGGGTTCAAGTGGCTTGGAAAAGCGTGTGTGTAATGTCCGACAGTATAACACCGCTTTATACAACACTTGCATGTGTCATTCCAGCGTGTTGTGTTTGGATTTTGTGTAACGTGTGGTGTGTGAATTACATGTAATGTGTGGTGTGTGGAATTTGTGTAGCTTATTTGGATTTTATGTAACCTGTTATCTTTGGATTTTGTGTAACGTGTGTTTATACGATTTACAGACCATGACCGATAAAGAAAAGCAGAGGTTTCATGACATGGCAGAAAAGGACAAGACTCGCTATGACACAGAGATGCAAGGGTACAGGGGACCGCGGCAGTCGCGTTCCTCACGCAAACGACGCAACCGCAAGGACCCCAATGCTCCCAAGAGAGCGCTGTGAGTATGAGTACGTGGGTACAAACACTAGTTAATGGTACAGGGACCCCAAGAGTACTTAGGTACAAAGTCTACTAGCCCCTTGCTGCCAATATTTACTAATCTATACAGTAGGTGTTACTAGCACCTTGTTGCTAGCATTTTGGTTGCGTCTCATGACACACATGACTTACGCAGGAAGGATTGTAACCTATTTCCCCATGGGCAACCTTGTTTTTTGTCATGTATACTTTTGTATGCCTGTGAGCACTGGCCCCCACTGTCATAGTGGTAAATAGAGACTAAAAAAGGCACAGTAAAATGACTGGAACAATATACAAATGGCCCATAGACACACAAGACACTCATGGCCATGTTTGGGTCCCACATAGACCATTAACTAGTCACACTAACACACAGAGGTAAGGGTGACACTATATACAGGAAGTCTTCAATTTAAAAACACATTGGGGACCTGAATTGTGTATAATAATGACATACACAGTACAGAAGATTCTCAACATGTTCATAAGTTAAGGACTTGGTGTACTAGCTCCCTTACCTTCGTGTGTTAATGGTGTAAGTCACACTGAAGCATGGTTGTAAGTTCTTATTTGTGTAGTTCTTGGTAGACATTACAACTACCATGGTAGGAAGGCCCCTCTAAAAAAGTAACCACGCACATTCATCATTGTTCATTCAGTAGCTGTGGCATAGCCATGTATTTTTGTTCTCCTTTCAGTGGTCAGATGCCAAGGTAGTGTCACACAAAGAAGCACCTTAACCATCATTCAGTCAGTACTGTCTTGATACAACACACAAAAAAGAACACCTTCATTACTCAGTCAATAACTGTCTTGATACAAGACAAAGAAAAACCACCTTAACCATCATTTTAACCACACTTGGACTGACCCCTAATACAACCAACAGATCGGCGTTCTTCTGGTTTTCCAACGACGAGCGGCCCAAAGTCCGAGCCAGCAACCCTGACATGGGGGTGGGTGAGGTGGCCAAGCAACTGGGAGCAGCCTGGAGCAACACACCTCAGGAAGTGAGGAACAAGTATGAGATTATGGCCGAGAATGATAAGGCCAGGTATGAGAAGGTTAGTATTGTTAGTTGTTAGTATGATATTATGGCTAAGAATGATAAGGCCAGGTATGAGAAGGTGTTGACCTAAAAAAAATTCCCCTGAAGTCAAGTATTAAAAACCATTTGTCTCCATTCACTCCTATCAAACACGCTCACGCATGGACTTCCAGCAGGCATGCGTGAGCGCGTTTAATAGGAGTGAATGGAGACAAATGGTTTTTAATACTTGACGTGCTGTTGGAGTGTGAACAAAGTAACATTTATGAAGGGGTTCAGGGAAACCGGCAGGCCGGACTTGAGTCCTGGAGATGGGAAGTACAGTGCCTGCACTCTGAAGGAGGGGTGTTAATGTTGCAGTTTAAAAACTGTAGTGTAAAGCACCCTTCTGGCAAGACAGTGATGGAGTGAATGATGGTGAAAGTTTTTCTTTTTCGGGCCACCCTGCCTTGGTGGGCCACCCTGCCTTGGTGGGCCACCCTGCCTTGGTGGGCCACCCTGCCTTGGTGGGCCACCCTGCCTTGGTGGCCACCCTGCCTTGGTGGGCCATCCTGCCTTGGTGGGCCATCCTGCCTTGGTGGGCCACCCTGCCTTGGTGGGCCACCCTGCCTTGGTGGGCCACCCTGCCTTGGTGGGCCACCCTGCCTTGGTGGGCCACCCTGCCTTGGTGGGAATCGGCCAGTGTGATAATAATAATAATAATGTGTTGTAACAGAGAACCTTTCTTCTTCTTTCAAAATTTAGTAATTTATACAGATGGGGTTACTACCCTCTTGCTCCCGGCATTTTAGTCGCCTCTTACAACACGCATGGCTTACAGAGGAAGAATTTTGTTCCACTTCCCCATGGAGGTAAGAGGAAATAAACAAGAACAAGAACTAGTAAGAAAATAGAAGAAAACCCAGAGGGGTGTGTGTACATATATGCTTGTACATGCATGTGTAGTGTGACCTAAGTGTAAGTAGAAGTAGCAAGACGTACCTGAAATCTTGCATGCTTATGAGACAGAGAAAACAGCAATCCTACCATCATGTAAAAAAGTACAGGCTTCTGTTTTACACTCACTTGGCAGGACGGTAGTACCTCCCTGGGCAGTTGCTGTCTACCAACCTACTACCTAGAACAGAGAACCATTGATCAGTATATTAACCCTTTCAAGGTCAGTGCCATACTAGTACAGCTTGCACACCAGGGTTGGTGCCGTACATAAGAACATAAGAATCCTGGAGGAACACTGCAGGAGGCCTGCTGGCCCATACTAGGCAGGTCCTTCACAATTCATCCCACTAACAAAACATTTGCCCAACCCAATTTTCAATGCCACCCAAGAAATAAGCTCTGATGTGAAAGTCCCACTCAAATCCAACCCCTCCCACTCATGTACTTATCCAACCTAGATTTGAAACTACCCAAAGTCCCAGCCTCAATAACCCAACTAGGTAGACTGTTCCACTCATCAACTACCCTATTTCCAAACCAATACTTTCCTATGTCCTTTCTAAATCTAAACTTATCTAATTTAAATCCATTACTGCGGGTTCTCTCTTGGAGAGACATCCTCAAGACCTTATTAATATCCCCTTTATTAATACCTATCTTCCACTTATACACTTCGATCAGGTCTCCCCTCATTCTTCGTCTAACAAGTGAATGTAACTTAAGAGTCTTCAATCTTTCTTCATAAGGAAGATTTCTAATGCTATGTATTAATTTAGTCATCCTACGCTGAATGTTTTCTAACGAATTTATGTCCATTTTGTAATACGGAGACCAGAACTGAGCTGCATAATCTAGGTGAGGCCTTATTAATGATGTATAAAGCTGCAGTATGACCTCTGGACTTCTGTTGCTTACACTTCTTGATATAAATCCAGTAATCTATTTGCCTTATTACATACGCTTAGGCATTGCTGTCTTGGTTTAAGGTTGCTGCTCACCATAACCCCCAAGTCCTTTTCGCAATCTGTATGGCTAAGTTCTACATCATTTAACTTATAAGTACTAGGGTTATGGGCACTCCCAAGCTTCAGAACCTTGCATTTATCTACATTGAACTGCATCTGCCACTTTTCTGACCAAGAATAGAGTTTGTTTAAATCCTCCTGAAGTTCCCTAACATCTACGTTTGAATCAATTATCCTACCTATCTTTGTGTCATCGGCGAATTTGCTCATATCACTAGTAATTCCCTCATCAAGATCATTGATATATATTATAAACAACAACGGGCCCAAGACTGATCCCTGTGGAACGCCACTTGTTACAGATCCCCACTCGGATTTAACCCCATTTATGGACACTCTCTGCTTCCTGTCAGTGAGCCATGACTCGATCCACGAGAGCACTTTTCCCCCAATGCCATGAGCTGCCACTTTCTTTAACAGTCTATGGTGCAGAACTCTATCAAAAGCCTTACTAAAATCTAAGTAAATAAAATACTATCAAATTCTTTATTGTGGTCAACAGCCTCAAAAGCTTCACTGAAGAAAGTTAATAAATTAGTTAGAGAAGACCGGCCTCTTGTGAATCCATGCTGAGTATCATTAATCAAGCTATGCTTATCGAGATGGCTTCTTATAATCTCAGCTATAATCGACTAGTAATTTGCCTACAATTGAGGTCAGGCTTATTGGGCGGTAATTTGACGGTAACGACTTGTCCCCTGTTTTAAAAATAGGAGTTACATTAGCCATCTTCCACATATCAGACACTACACCTGTTTGAAGAGATAAATTAAAAATATTAGTTAATGGTTCACAGAGTTCCATTTTGCATTCCTTAAGAACCCTTGAAAAAACCTCATCAGGACCCGGCGACTTATTTTGCTTCAGTCTGTCTATCTGCTTCACAACCATCTCACTAGTGACTGTGATGTTACATAATTTATCTTCTTCTAGCCCACTGTAAAAATTAATTACTGGAATATTGTTAGTGTCTTCCTGTGTAAAAACTGAGAGAAAATAATTATTTAAAATCAAGCACATTTCATTCTCTTTGTCAGTAAGGTGCCCATAGTTATTTTTAAGGGGACCTATCTTCTCTCTAACTTTTGTTCTATAGATCTGGACTAGTATGTGTAAATTCTAGTGCCTTCAAATCTAGTGAGAGAAAGCTGGTAGGCCTACATATGAAAGAATGGGTCTGTGTGGTCAGTGTGCACAGTATAAAAAGAATCCTGCAGCACACAGTGCATAATGAGAAAAAAAAACTTCGACTGTGTTTTTCGTTTAAAACAGCTAATTTGCAATGTATTTTCGTATGGTATTTATGGTTGTATTCTCGTTTTCCTGGTCTCATTTTATAGAATGGAAGACATATTACAGAAATTGAGATTATTTTGATTGGCTTCATAATGAAAAGTGCCTTGAAACTGAGCTCAAAGTAGCAGAAATGTTCGATTTTTGCCAGTGTTCAAAAGTAAACAAATCATGCCACGCATCCAATACACATCAACTGGCGAGTCTAATATTCTTTTACAAGTGCGCTGATATTATTTATACCATTTTTACACTAATGCAGTAGTCTGGATAAGAGTAAATCCTCTATTTTGTTGTGAGAATAAAAATTCAGTGGAAATCAAAAGAAATGTAAGAGGGGCCTGGAGATCCAACTTATGAACAGAGAAAATGTCATTTTAGTGCCAGGAATGTGTCTTGTGTATTATGGACCCTATTTTGAAACTGGCATCTTTTGAAATTTGTGTGAAATTGGCAAAATTGCCAATTTCTGACCATTTTATTGGATAGTTGAAATCAATAAATGGGTGGTTTCTTGTACTCATTCAATAGAACAAATGGAGTTCTAGCAAAATAGCTATGACTTTTGTCAACTGGTACATTGAATTTGGCCGAAAATAGGTCTCAAATGGGCGAAATTGCCGATGCGTAAACATCGTCGAGACCGCTAACTTTACAAGAGCATATTTCTGTAAGTTTTCCATCAAATTAAAGCTGTGTTTCCAAACAGCTTGTACAGTAAGTCCTCAACTTATGCACACTTTGAGGACATTTTGTATTGTGTATAATATATAATAATGATATTGCTTACAATGCAGAGGATTTTCAAAATATTTGTAAGTCAAGGACTTAGTGTAGTAGATGTTGTCTATATTGAGAGAGAGTTTGTTGGTTGTCATCCAGAACTTAACCTGTCATGTAAGTGGGGCTTTCCTATAGTAATAATACAGGGTGCTCCTTGACTTACAATGCTTCAACTTAAAACGTTCGACTTACAATGGCTTGACTTAAGATGGTTTCATTCATGATGATTCAACTTAGGGTGGTTTGACTTACAGTGGTTCAACTTTACAATAATTTCAACTTTGCGATGGTTCAACTTTACAATATTTCAACTTTACAATGGTGTGCCAGCGATAACTGGTATTTAGTTAGTTAAACTAATTATTTCTTTATTGACTTATTCACTGACACTAGTTATTTATTGACTTGTTTATTTACCATGTCATATACATATTTGACTTAGGATATTTTTGACCTACAGTATTTTCAGCTAAATTATTTTCAGCTTACTATATTTTCAACCTACAATATTCTCAATTTGCAATACAGTAAGGCCCCACTTATACAGCAGGTTAGGGTCCAGGCTACTGCCGGAAAGCAGACATCAATGGAAAGCAGAACGCCATTTTTTTCCACTTATAAATGCATATAAATGCCAGATAACAAGTTTACATTAACATATATTAAGTTAGCAATAGAACTAGGCATCTTCTGTACATAGTTCTACTGTCTTCAAGTTATGTCCTAGAATTTGTATTGATAAAGCCACTGGATGGCAAAATGTCTACAATAAAGATACCCAGATGTTGCACATGTGTCTTAACCCTTTGACTGTTTCAGGCCCCTCTCTGAAACTGTCATTCTATGTCGCTCAATTTTTGGAAAAAAAAAATTATTTTTTCTTATGAAATGATAGAGAATCTTTTCCCGGTGGTAATGACACCAAAAGTTCGAAATTTGGTCGAAAACTCGTGGAATTATGCTCCCGCGAAGTTAGCGGTCTCGGCGACATGTGTATCGACGATTTCGCCGACTTTGAGCCCTATTTTCAGCCAATTCCATTGTTCCAGTTGACCAAACTCATAGCTATTTCTTTAGAACTCCATTTTATCTATCAGCTGAGTACAAGAAACCTCCCATTTACTAATTTGGACTACCCAATATGGTGGTCAGAAATTGGCAATTTGGCCAATTTCACGCAAAATAAAAAAGATGCCAATTTCAAAATAGGGTCCAGAATAAACAAGGTAGACATTCGTGGCACTAAAATAACATATGCTCTGTTCATTAGTCACATCTCTAGGCCCCTCTTATATTGTTATTGCTTTCTATTTTGATTTTTTATTCATACAAAAAAATACAAAATTTACTGTTATGCAGACGACTGCATTATTGTAAAAATGGTATAAATAATATCAGTGCACTAGTGAAAGAATATTAGACTCCCCAGTTGACGTGTATTGGACGTGTGGTGTGATTTATTTACTCTTGAACATTGGTAAAAATCGAACATTTCCGCTACTTTGAGCTCAGTTTCAAGGTCATTTTCATCGTAAAAGTAATGAAAATCATCTCTATTTCTGTAATATGTTTTCCATTTTATTACCTAAGACCATGAAAACGCGAATACAACGATAAATACTATACGAAAATACACCTCAAAGTCGGCGTTTTATTCCAAAAAACGATCAGTTTTTTTTTTTTTTCTCATTACGCAATGTGTGCTGCAGGATTTTTTTTATGTGGTGCATACTGACCACACAGACCCATTCTCTCACATGTGGGCCTACCAGCTTTCTCCCACTTGATTTGAAGCCGCTAGAATTATTGAGTATATATACGTCAGAAACATTGGCTCGTAAGACGTATTTATACGTCGAAAACAGTCAAAGGGTTAATCTCATCTTGTCGGTATTGTATACCATTCTTACACAACTAGGCATTAAAACAATAAAAAAGTAAAGTACACACACAGTATACTATTTACCTCAAAATATTCATAGTCTTAATGTAGGGCAAAAGGTGAGTAGTATTTACTCTAAGAAGTTAGGTGTGGTAGCCCTCCTGGCCACCTCGCCCACATATAATATACTACGATGATGCTTAAAGCTCCATAGTGATAAACTGCATATACATTACACTCATTACTTTAAAATATTTGTGGTCTTAATGTAGGGTGAAAGGTGAAAAGTATTTATTTGTAGAAAGTGGTATGGTAGGTAGGGTAGTGTAGGGAAACCAGCCTGGCCACTCCACCCACTGTGTAAACAAACAGATGGTGCAGGCTGTGGTTCGCACGTTGGATTGCGTGCAGCCAGCAGTAACAGCCTGGTTCATCAGGCCTTGATCCACCATGAGGCCTGGTCACAGACCAGGCCGTGGGGGTGTTCATCCCCAGAATTCCCTCCAGGTAAACAAACACCTTACATTGTGTACAAGTTGTCTCCACAGTGGTACAGTAGAATAAATAAAGACCAACACTTCCATTCTCATGTAATTTTTAGAAGTAATGATGCTCTGACAAATTATTATTAAAAGTTATTATTATAATCATAAAAAAAGAATCACTAAACCCACAAGGGTCATGAATTGATATATATGGAGTGAAGGCATACGAAAGGAATATTTAACTACAGTTATCCTCCACTGTTTGACTAGAGAAAACATAATTCTTCCGACACTTCTACGAAGCCGCTTTGTAAGCAAATCTCATATTTATGTCAATTTTTATTCTGTGGGTGTATGTACAATGTTTATATGCTATGTAACGTGTTTCTTATATAATTTTGAACAAAATATCATAGATGGATTAATGAAAATGTCTATATTAACGTAAAATATGACATTTAACGTGCCCGAGAGATTATTATTACGTAGTATTACTATGGCGTCATCAATAGAGACTTAGTGATATTAATGTGTACCTGCACACCAGTACAGTGTGTAAGTATATTTAGGTACAGGTACACATAAGCATATTTATCAGAGTACATATAAAATATACAATAGCTTTAATATGCGTGAAATTTTGGAAAGTTTCCAGACATAATAGATGTGCTCATGGAGAATGTAAACAAATCGGGTGGGGCACTCCGTATTTGAAAGACCGCTTGCAGTATAGCAAAATTTGGTCATAATTGGAAGTCGCCGTATTAGCGGAACGCCGTAAGGCGGGGCCCTACTGTACTTTCAACCTACAATACATATTTCAGACACAATGGGTTCGTCGGAACGTAACCCTATTGTAAGGCGACAACCACCGATAATAATGACAATAGTAATGATGATGATAACTATAATTACTCTTTGCAGGAAATGAAAGCATTCAAAGAGGGTAACTTCGGAGCGAAGAAGCTCAAGACCACTGAAGATGAAGATGACGACGAAGACAGTGAAAGCGAAGAGGAGGAAGAGGAGGAGGATGAAGACGAATGATTTATTTACATACTTTACTGATCACCCCGAGTATTACAGGAAAAAAAAATTTCGACCCTTGGCCTACGAATTATTTTTATGACCCAGAGTAATGAGTTTTTTGGCGACTTGGGCCTTTGAGTTATATACACCCTGAAGTATTTTTTTTTTTTTTTTTTTTTTTTTTTTTTTTTTTTTTTTTTTTTTTTTTTTTTTTTTCAAATTTAGGCCTTCAAATTTGTTATTTACCACCCAAAGTATTTTATGTTTTTTTTGACTTTAGGCCTTTGAATTTATTTAATTTTTTTCAACTAGGCCTTTGATTTATGCCCTATTGTACAATTTTTTAGGCCATTGATTTATGCCCTATTGTACAATTTTTTAGGCCATTGATTTATGCCCTATTGTACAATTTTTTAATTTTATTTTTGACTAGGCCTTCGAATTATAGGAGGATTATTTACGAATTGTGCCTTCCCCCTCCCCCCACAAGGCGCGTGTACGTGAGCTGTACCGGTAATTATCCTGTTTTTTTTTTTTTTTTTGTGTCCTGTCCATGTCAGAAATTGTACTTTTTTTTTTTTTTTGTTAAAGGGTCTGTAGTCCTTTTAAAAGTCTTTTTCAGGAATACCAAAGAAAATGGTACATTGATACGGCCAACCCTTTGTGTGACGGATTGATTGAGGGTAGCAGATGGCTGGTAATGGCTATTGTGGTGGTTAGAGGAGAGATTGATGGGTCAGGATTGTAACAGTGGACAGTTTTGTCCGCCGTTCCTCAGTCCGCCAACTTGGCAGATTCTGTTATGCTTTTCTGAAATCCATCATACAAAGGGTTCACCGTAATTTCATTTAGAGTGGAAGAAATCGTTTTTTGAAAATATTTATTTATCTTCGAAGTTGCTAATTTATTTTCCGCTATAGTTTCTAGTATTTTTGAACTGTGTAACCCTGCATTCAAGACATGTTTGATACTTGTACATACGGCATTTTTGTACAACTGGTGAAGACGAGCGTTGAGATGCGGTGATGTGTGGGTCTTGTCTACAGCATCTTTGTTACAGGTGTACAAGAGTGTACTTCACCCCCTCATAGATATTACTTGTACATCCTCTCATAACCTCTGCAGTGGTTAGGCTGATTCGTTTATGCAATTTTTCACTGGACTATTTTATGAAGTGACTGGACAGGGGTGACACAGTATGGGCAGGGCTCTAGTTCCTGTCCACTATCCCCATACGTTCCCTGTCCAGTCATTTGTAATATATCTTGAGTTAACGAATTTTTATATCCATGTACATATTTACGTATCTATACATATTTTTACATAGATATTTACATTGGGGTTGACTGTTGGATAACATGCTAGTTAGGTTCCCAGAAATGGTGTGTAAATTGAAGTTAAGAACATGGGAAAATGGGATTGTGTCCATTAGGCCTCCAAAAAGGCAAACCAGATTTTTTTTGTAAGCCTTGAAATTATCAGAAAATATTGGTGTGTGTGGGTGTAGTGATGTTATGTTTAATATAATATAGCTTCAAAAATTGCATCTTGAATTAAATTCTTGTGTCTGTGCATTGATATCTGCCAACATAGCTGATAGCATTTGCAATTTTGAATTTATGCCAGAAATCTGGCACTGCAAGATGCAGTAGGTTCCCACTTTTTAATATGTAGTTTTGCAGTAAGGCCACAGTAAACAGGTGATAGTGCTATGCAAAACCACCACTGTGAAAAAAAATAGTGAACTTTCATCGCTTTTGTGATTTCTCGCATATTCAAGGAACTGAGAAATCACGAAAGCGCTTGGAGTTCACAATTTTTTCAGTGTTTTTGTGTGTGTAATTACACTTATACATCCTAATAATTCCACAATCCAATGGCTGTATTAGTTGTATTTGACAGTAAAAATACAATAAGTACATGTGGGTGTAAACTAAAGGTTCTGGATGAATACAGGAATTATCAAGAGTGAGGTGAACCTTGAGTACAAGGTTCTTGTGTAGGTAAAACTAGACTTGAGGGATAGAGGGATGCTTAAACCAGTCAGCGGATAATTGATATCTGTGTTGAGTGGATTAACCTCCAGGACTGGTTAGGTTAGGTTTTATCTGTGCCTTTCAAAGCACAGTTTACACTTTAAACCATCTGATGTACACAAGTGGCAACTATCCAACGTACTAATACACTAAGTACACGAGTCTAGGAGCTTTAATGTTAATATTTCTTAACATTAAGACTGATGTTAATGTTACTTAACATTAAGAATAGTATTTCATCTTTGCAATTGCAAATCAATTGCATATTCCCTTGGTTGCCATGGTTACTCTCCAGACAAGTTGAGATGCTGGAAAAAATCACTAAGATAGGCCTAGTCTCATATATGTGGGCTAGGGAGGCTGTGTATGTTTAGACTTACCCCATAGCACACTGGCCCAGGGGTTAAAACCTAGTTCTACCCTGCGCATACCCTGCGTAAATTGACTTTGGCACTGTTTGCTGCAGTTTTGCAGCCATATTGAAGCTGAATTTTTTTAATAGAATCCTTGTTATCCAGCGGTCTACTGTATATATATACATGTATATATATTATATCATGCATACACACACGCACACACTACACGCACGCACACACTACACGCACACACACACTATGCTCACTCACTACACACACATGCACTACACACACGCACGCACTACACACGCACGCACTACACACGCACGCACTACACACGCACGCACCACACACGCATTTCACACACACACACACACACACACACAACTAGCACATTACACACACAGACTACAGACACATTACACACACACAGCTACAGACCATTACACACACCACACTACAGACACATTACACACACACACAGCTACAGACACATTACACACACACACAGCTACAGACACATTACACACACACACACACTACAGACACATTACACACACACAGCTACAGACACATTACACACACACACAGCTACAGACACATTAACACACACACAGCTACAGACACATTACACACACACACACTACAGACACATTACACACACACACAACTACAGACACATTACACACACACAACTACAGACACATTACACACACACAACTACAGACACATTACACACACACACACTACAGACACATTACACACACACAACTACAGACACATTACACACACACAACTACAGACACATTACACACACACAACTACAGACACATTACACACACACAACTACAGACACATTACAACACACACAACTACAGACACATTACACACACACACAACTACAGACACATTACACACACACAACTACAGACACATACCACACACAACTACAGACACATACACACACACAACTACAGACACATTACACACACACAACTACAGACACATACACCACAAACTACAGACACATTACACACACACAACACAACACATTACACACACACACTAAACACTTACACACACACTACAGACACATTACACACACACAACACAGACACATTACACACAACACAGACACATACACACACACACACAACACATTACACACACACAACACAGCACACACAACACACTCACACACAACACAACACAACACACACACACCACACACAACACACACACACACACACACACACACACACACACACACACACACACACACACACACACACACACACCACACACACACACACACACACACACACACACACACACACACACAACACAACACACACACACACACAACACACACACACACAACACACACACACCACACACACCAACACACACACACACAACACACACACACACACACACACACACACACACAACACACACACACACACACACACACAAACACACACAACAACACCACACAACACACACACACACACACACACACACACACAACACACACACAAACACAACAACACACACAACACACACACAACACCACACATACACACACACATACACACACACATACACACACACATACACACCCCACACACACACACACACACACAACACACACACACACACACACACAACCACCACACACACACACCACACAACACACACCACACTCACACACACTCACTCGCTCACTCTACCCCTACCTACCTACCTACCTTACCACAGGAAGATCTCCCCACCACAATATATAATTCAAGTGGAAATAAATTCAACCTACCCACTGCATGACCTTCCCACTACACCATATTCTTGTCATCTTTTTTGTAAGAAGAAGAGTACAATAAAAATGCAGTTTGTAATTGTGTTTGTTTACTGTCATTGTTCCATGACGTCAGACTGTGGTAACACCGGTTGTCTCTTCAAGGCAGGGGGACCTGAAAAAGAAGAAATGCTGTCATCATTCACTCAATTGCTGTCTTTCCGTACATGTGCTGTTGCTAGAGTTTGGAACTGCAACATGTCTTCACCACTCATTCAGTGAGCTGGTACGACCCTTGTGGGTGTAGTGCTTCTTTTTTATTCTGATCTCTTGAGGTTTTTGATGCTGGTGAGGGGCTCTTGATCTAGGGAATTGGATCTGTGCTACAGTTCCAACTCCCTACACAGGTGCTGTACATTCCCTGTGGGTTTGCTGCTCCCTCACAAGTCCTGGAGGTGGAAAGTACAGTGCTTGCACTTTAACCCTTAAACTGTCCAAACATAGATCTACATTTTTTCAACATTTGAAAGTATGTAAAAAAATTTAATTTTTTTTTTTACATTTGAAAACGTGTAAAAAAAACTTGATCTACTTTTTTTTGTTAGATTTGAAAATATGTAAAAAAAAAAAAACGTAGATCTACTTTTGGAGCACTACGCATGTGAACGTAAATCTGTTTGGACAGTTTAAGGGTTAAAGGAGGAGCCCCTTTAAATGGGGCTCCTTGTCATGGTAAAGAGGAGTTTGGTCTGAGGAATTGGACCTTTTGGTTTTCTTCTTCAGACCAAACCTAATTATCCCCCCATCCTCTCCTTTCCCTTTCCTGTTTTCTGCCTTTGAGGTTGTTCCTTAGGCATTATAGTTCCTAGATCTGGGTAGGGGCTCCAGGGGTCCATCCCATTCCGTCGATGTGCTTGGTGGTGGTGTAGTTTTCTGTGGAATCTGGATCATCTGGAGATCCCAATCCCACTCCGGTCTACCATGGGAAGGTTTCGAGTGTTTCAGGTGACGGGTGTATCTCTGGAGGCTGCCTGTCGAATTCCAGGTGGCGGCAGCTGAAGGAGGTATGCTTTGTGACGGGTATCCAACCCTTTATTGTTCGCTGAGGTAGATGTGAGGTTGCTATTCCAGATTGCTGATTTACTGGCATGAAGGGTAGGGTATGGCACGGGTCTCACTCCACATCTGCAGAATGGAACTTATGCTGGAGTCCTCTTGGGCGTGGAGGGGGATTTGTGACCCTTTCATTCCTTCTAGAAGCTATCCCTCAACATTCACTCCCCTCCCCCTCCTCTTTTTTTTTTTTTTTTTTTCTGAAAAAGAAAAAAAGTGACCTGACCATGGAGTCTCAGATCCATAAAAGACTGCCCCTCTCGGGTCCCTTTCTGCTACAGCACCCTCTTACAACCCTACTTTGTTATTGGACCATTCTTCGGATCTTTCTAATGTCCCAGTACCTTCTGCTGGTAGCGTTCCATTGCCTGCTCCTGGTATCGAGGTTCTGCCTGACTCCTTTGACACGCCCAACCTCCACACATCTTTGACCATGCTTCCAGCTTCTCCCTATATGGTTCAAAGATTTTCAGATCACCCATTCATCTCAGGATGTACCATCTCCAGTCCTGCACCTAAACGACCGCAACCTTTAGCTGATGACACTGCTTCGATTACCTCTCACTCTTCCCGGAAAGGACCAGCACGACACTCACTCCCCTTACACACTATGTTTCAAAGTACACATTGGACTAGGTTCTTCACTCTGCAGCTGACATTTCCCACTGACTATCATTCAGATCATAGTATCAGCAAGGCACTCCTGAGTCATGTTGGTCAAGGTATTTCATTCCCTGCTCTTAAGAGTGGTGCATGCATCATCATGGTGCAAAATGCTGGCCAGCCTCACAATCTTTCTCTTCTTACCTCCATAGATGCTATTCCAGTAACAATTCAAAAACATGTTTCTCTCAATTCTTATAGTGGTACTGTTATTCTGCCTCAAACCATTGCTCAACATGATTTCTGGACATGTGATGACATTCTGGAGCAACTTGAGCTCCAAGACCTCCCAATTCTTAAAGTGGACACTTGTGTACTACCTGCCTGTGGGCAGATAATCTTTCCCTGCAGTGTAGCTCACTTTTGACTGCCGTGAGCTTCCATCCTCTGTTTATGCTGTGGGACACCATTTACAAGCCCGAGAGGTGATCATAATGCCACAACAATGTAGAAATTGCTGGTGTTTTGGCCATCCAGTGGAATATTGCAGGTCCATGACAGAATGCCCAGTCTGTGGTGCTGCCAGCCATACCAGTGCATACTGCAACCTACCTCTCGTTTGCCTCCACTGTAATGAGGCTTACCCTACTTACTCTTGTCATTGCCAAGTTTACTTCAGAGAACAAGAAATCTGCCATGGCAGTCTCTCATCTCTGCCTCCAAGGGAAACTTCCACATCTTTCTAATTCTTGAGTTACCAAACAACAACCAACTTCTGTGGTACCTACTCCCACAATTTCCTCTGTGGTCACAACTTCCACAGTCACCCCTTTTTTCTAGCATTTTTGCAGTCCTGGCCTCTGAGGTCCTACCTCGTCACAAACTATCCTTGAGCCATCTTATCGTTTGAATGTATCTCCACAAGACCTCCCACAACTACACCTTCCCTTTGCCTCTCTACTTCTTCAAATTCTAAAACATCCTCAAAGCTCAAATCTCTAACACCTGTCATTTATTCTTCCCAAACATTTTTCCTTTCCAGTCTCTCTGCCTAGTACTTTAGCTCTTACTGTGTCTGTTACTGGTGTGGAAGTTCATCCTTTCTCTCGTACAATCCCTTCTTCTCCTGTCCCCTCCCAGGTTTCTTCCTCTCCTGTCCCCCTCCCAAGTTTCTTCGCAAGTTAACTCTTAACCTCACAACCTTCCCCTTCTTTAGTAACTTCCATCATATCTCTGATCTTTACTCACCCTCCTTCCTCTGTCTCTGATGGGGAACTACCTGCAACTTCCTTGTCCTCTGAAACACTTGAAGGTATCTCCAAATGTACTGAGGAGACCAGACCATTGATGGACACTGAACCACCTCCAGTCACTCTCTTCCTCACTTTTCTAAACCATCTACACGATTCATTTCTTCACAGCGTTCCAATCCTTCGCTGCTGACTGGTCTTCCGCTACCACCTCGTGTAGATTTTGCTAACCTTTCTAGTCTAGAAACCTACTGCTTTTTATTTCCTGTATCCTTCTCTCTGTAAATCATGGCTTATTTACAGTGGAATATTCAAGACCTCAGAGGTAATAGAGTTGAGCTTCAGCTGTTTCTCTCCCAGTTTTCTGCTGTTTGTCTGTTTACAAGAACCTTAATTGTACTCCACTGTTATCCATCCTGTCTCTGGCTATATTTTATAATCACTGAGTCATTTTCCTAATGGAACTTAATGGAAGTGCACTCCTTGTACGAACAGGTATACCGTACCATCAGATCTTTGTACTTTGCTGCATTATACTGCAGCCCATATATACTTGAACAAGTGGTATACAGTCTGCTTTTTGTATCTTTC